TTTCACACTTTTATTATTCATCAAATCATTAATTTTACCATTTCACCAAATGCTTTATTTAGTGCAATTCTGGTGAAAGTATTTTATTATTTCACCTGGTGAAATTGTTTAATTTCATCAGAACTCTAAAAATACCAATAATTTTGACAATTTTAAGATACAGCAAATCCAGAGATCATTATAAATAAGCTCATTGAATAGGATTTTAACTGTATCTTGTCTACTCGTACAGCAACCTCCCCAAATTTTCCGCATTCCGCTGTACTCCATTAATTGCTATTGCGTTACCGAAGAATTTTATGATAATTCGGCGATAATTAGTAATTTTTGTTATCCAAGTTTTCTTTGGTAACGAACAAGAAAACTTTATAATTAAATATTAGAATAATAAAAATTTTCTTCGTTATCCAAGAAAATTGAAAGCGAAGAAAAAATCATTATTATTCTAATATTTAATTACTAAGCATCATCTAATTATCATAAAATTCTTTTGATAATATAATAGCAATTAATCGGAGTATAGCGGAATGTGGAAAGTTTTGGGAGGTCGCTGTATGAATTATACCTTATCATCTCATTGGTTAAATTGATTCATCAAAGAATTTGTTTATCGTCAATTGTAAGGTTTCGTCAGACAAATTTAATAATAAAAACCATTTCGTAATTGCAAAAACAGTTTCATCAAACATGATTAACCAGATCCATGATTTAATTGGTCAAATTTTCTTATACTAAATTAAACACTAAATCTAAGTTTGAGACTAAGCTGAAGTGTGTGTGTGCATTTAGAGTGGTGCACTTAAGGTTAGTTGACTGTATTTCGGCAAAACAAAATTGAATTTTAGAAAAAATAAATATTAAATAATAGGCTTAAAATGGTATTTCATGAATGTTTGGGCTATGTGTTGTACTCCAGATGGAAATCCACCCGATTCGGAATCCGGCTGTCCCGAACAGAATCAGGGCAGCCGGATTTAGAATTCTTATACGGGTACCCGATTCACTATACTTATACGTATTCTTACCCTAATCTTAACCTCACTAATTATTGAGCCGGGTACCCTGTATAAGATTCCTATCTGGGGTACGACATATATATTTACCAAATATCTTTTAGGAATTGACTAAATTAAATTTTCATTGTATTTTTATAAATATATAAATAGAAAATTTCTTATCATTTCTTATCACGCATAGTGCATGAACACATTATATAGTATAATTTGTAAATCTGTGTAACACAAAATTCAAGAAACAGAATTTATTTTGTTAATGTTAGATTAATGTTAGGGTTTAAGGTTTGGGTTAGCATATATAGTTTATACTAAAATTTCGCGGAGATTTTTTTTGTTAGAACCCCAAAGTCAGTTTTTATTAGTAAAATTTTATGTTATATATATAACTGTGTTTCATACACTAGAGTACGAATAAAAATCGTCATATAAATATTTTACTCGATTTAGTTTTTTCTATTTTTTAAATAAAATATTTAGCATTTAAGTATAATATGACTGCATCTTTCGTTGATAGACATGCTAGCGATGATGGTGGTTTAAATGTGCCTAACGGTAATGGTGATGAAAGAAAAGTTCTAGGAATGTTATTAGGAGCAGGGTATAACATTAATCAAATTATAGGAGCTGGTTTGTATTAAAAGTTTTTGCTATTAATTTAGAGAATTATTTCCATACCTTTTGAATAATGCCACACCCCTGTTAATAATTCTAACTCCAAATCCTAACCCAAACTCTAGTAATATATATTAATTTATATTAACAGGATGTGGCATGATCGAAAAGGGTGCGAAATATCAATTTACTTAATTTATATTAATAATAATTATGATTTAAATTAGGAATTTTTCAAAACCCTGGTTTTATATGGTGGCAAATTCAGTCACCAGGAATTGCTTTAGTGCTTTGGGTTGTTGGTGGTTTTATTA